TAGCAAATAATAATAATAATAATAATAAAAAACTGAAATGTTTCAGATTTTAAATTACGTACAAAGAGGCCCCCCCTTTTTTAACATTTTGTGTGTTACCTTCATTTATTAAATACCATGTTTTCCGTACTTAAAAAATTCAGTTCAAGAGCAATATCGGAAAATAATTTTAAATTGAGGATATGTTTAGAATTTCTGATACACAGTCTCACGCGCTGGAGATAAATTGTTTTTTCTGTACAACGTTGCCATTGCTTGCTTTGGAATCTTTGAGTTTGCTAATAAAATTTTCGTTAAAGTTTTACAAAGTATGAAATCGATAATAAAACAAATTCCAAATTTGGATTTCCAGATGCCCTTATTCGCAGTAGGATTACGTCATTCAAAATTGGATGACTCTAGGTACCCTTGTTTTACCACAATGCGAGAAACATACATAATTTATTCAGATTCTTCATTATTCAGTTTCATCAAATATAGAGGGCGATAATATTTGGTGGCAACAGTTTGAAAAGTGAACCGAACATTCAGAGTGATTCGACGCAAAATCGCAAAACGAAAACAATAGTCCCTCAGGAACAAAGCCCCTTCGGACTAAAATTGAAAAGGTTGATATTTTAAAGATCGCCCAAAAGGGCTTTTTAAAGTTTAACATGGTATACAAGTAGAGATTGCCTAGTGAAATAACCGTACATTTTATAGGATATTATATGGACATGCATTTAGACTATTGTAAGAACGTTATATATCTTCAGTATAAAAAACTGAAAATACATAACATATATAAATAATATACATAAAATTTGCTCATTTTTCATCTCTCCTGCTTCAAAGTGGCGTAGTGTCTCTATAACGTAATTAAATAAATGAACTTTCAATCTGTTTCACTAACACATATTTGACACAGACCTCCTGAAATCACACCAGTCATTCTCGGAAATGCTGTACTTTTTTTTTCCCCGTGGTTTCGGCAGTACATGTACTAAAATTGGAACGATACAGAGATGATAGCGAGTTGAACAGGTCGCATCTTACTGCATTCTGAAATAAAATTCTTGCATTCGTAATATAAATATTACCCATGTCTGATCGCATTTTATTCAACGATTTTCAGTCAAACTGAGCAATGACGTAAAAGCATTGACCTTACTTTAGATGACTTTTCTTTTAATCAATGATCAAGAACAGGATCTTCAAAAAGATGCATATACAAGCAAAATATGGTCTACGACGCATTTTCAAATAGATCCAAACACATGAGAAACTTTTGGAAAAACAAGTTACGACTGACAAATTTCGTACTAACCCAGAGATGAGAAATGCACTTGGCATTTTATGATTAGGAATACAAAATCCATCAGTTAATTTTCGAGAACATCATGAATGTGAACAATCTTATAAAGAACATTTGTGTAACAAATGGCAAGTAATAAACTATTAATGAACCTCTTTGGCTTTTACTTGAAATTAAAATCTTGCATTTTACACTAAATTAGTTAAATTACATTGATTTTACTTTGTTTCAGCATTTAATGTTACCAAAATAGCCGTGGACCAGTGTGATTGATTACAGCATCGCTCATTTTATTTTATACTAATAAATACGGAAAGTACGTAAATGAAAAATCTTTTGCCGTGAAGATTCGCTGTTGCTTAAATTTTCGGCTCAGACACAATCTGAACGAAATTAAAATAAGAACTTACTGCTCTTCGGGTAGTAAAGAATAAAATCTTTATATTTGATTATTTAATTATTATCCCACTGTTTAAGAGACTTGGGTAGAAATAAGTGGATAATGGTTAAAACCAGAAACCTAAATTATAGTTTCCGTTTCATTTCATAATCCTAAAAACTAGTTATTAGTCCCTTATCCCATTATCCGATCCTTAAGACTTATCCGATATTCACGCTCATTGCATAAAGTGACTGTTCCTAACTTTAATAACAGAGCGGCAATCGAATACCGTTCAGTTTCACGTAGGGACGAACTGTTTGCTTGTAGATAGGACGAGAGTGACAGGTATCTAAAAGCAAGGGCATTACACTCCAGGTTATCCTTGAGCAGCGGATCGGCAACGCGGTTTCCTTTCCACAAACGTGATTGGTGGAAAGCACTTTATCCACCTTCTGTTACTATGGTGTCTAGGCTTCCGCGTGAATTACTGCTTCCCGGCAGGAGGCGCTGAGATCATTGTTTGTTTTTCTCCTTTTCCGATCGAAGACATAACTGGTTACCTTGGGCTCAATTAAGTCGTTTTTTTTTGCAAAAATTGGGTAAAGAGGATTCATTTTCTAGAAGGTAATAATCGAATGCTAAATTGATGTGACAAACTGAATTATGTTTTCAGTTAAAGTAATTTAGAGATGCAATGAGATGTTACAGCAATTACCTACACGCATTCATTTATATAGCACTTTAGAAGTTTTTGATGTTATTTTTATTTTGCAGATTTTAATTTTCAGCAGAGACCAAAAACATTTTTACCAATTCTCATAGCATTAAATCGTTTCACTGCTATTCATGATTGTATTTACCACAATATGTCTCAGAACCCTTATCAGTTTTTTTTTTTTCACTGGAGCACACCCCAATTCACACTGGCAATAGCAGCACCCTCTAAATTTGTTAGTCAGTCTAGGGGAGTGTTGGTTATAGTCAAGAAACTAGAAGTTCGTAACCGGGTAGTTTTCTAGCGACTAAATGGCCTGCTTATGGGAAGCACTCTTCCCCACGAGTAAAGACCGGTCCACACGAGTACGCTCGAAACGTAGCTGACGAACGCGCTTTTACGTTACCAGCGTAAAAGTGTCCAAACGAGTACGCTTGCGAAGAGTGCGTTTAACCAATAGAATTATTTAGCGCAAAAATCACGTGACGCTGTAATATAGCGTCAACAGAGCTGTATCTTATTACTTCGCTTTTCTTCTGTATGTTTGCGGCAAGTTGTCCGAATCAGATGATTTTTTTTTTAATAGCTGAAACTTTACTATTAAGTGCAATTATTAAGCAGAGGCAAAACCGCAAAAAATGGCAAGAATGGGTCCGAAAGATTTATTTAGAGCGACCTGTTCAAAGAGTTTTTTTTTTTTTTTTTTTAATTTTTTTACTGCCTTGTTTGCGAAAGGAATATCCTGGAATTATTAAATTCCTACTATTAGCTCACACTCTTTCCTATATCTTGTTCAAATTTTCAGTTACATAAAATGCTTTTTATTCATCCACTCAAGTTTCAAATACAATTTTTTAAAACTTGTAGTGAATGACACTTGATGTTAATACAGCTTTTTCACATATTAAATTTTTTAAAATTTTTAATTTAAAAAAATTCTGTTTGTATTTTTATTTATTTATCTTTTTATTTTTAAAACTTTTCTTTGTGGACCTCTGTAGGAATTGACTTAATTTTTTTTTTTGGGGGGAGGGGGGTATATTACTTGATTTTTAATTACTTCAGGATGAGTATCGACCAGTTTGACAGACTTGCAGATTCTATATTGTATGAAAATTAGGATTTTATAAAATTGGTTTGGAATACAGTATATAAAGAGAATTAAATTACTTAATTCTCTTTATATACACCATCCACCATATAATAAAACCAACTTCATATTTTTTTAACAAACTCCCCCTCCCTTTGGTCTTTTGTTTTTCCTTTTTTATTATTTTTGAATTTAGAATGAGGTTCAAACTTTGGACAGTTTATGAGAAATTATGTGCATGATAAAATATGCAATAAAGTAAAAATAAAGAGAGAATTTATAGAAGATATATGATAAAGAGATGCAGATATATTTTTACATAAGAATTTCTATTTGCACTGCACATTTTTAAACTAAATTAAAAACAATAATAATAATGAATAAAATAAGAAATGAAAATAATAATTCATGATTAAATATAAGAAACACGTTTCAAAATGAGAAATTCTAACTGAATTATACCGTCACGGGTGAGGTTCGAACTTGCCACCTTTCCATTCCTCCGCCACCAAAGCAGCGCGCTGACCACTCAGCTATCCGTGATAGCAGTGTTTGTGAAAAATAATGTAACAAGTAGAAGTCGCTGCAAAGGTAATTTAATTAAACTTCAATAAATGATTGCTGTATGACACAAGTTGTAACTTTCCTCCAAAATTTCGTAACTGTATTTTATTGAATACTCTTTCACAGTCAACTGCTTTATTTTAGAAGTTATTATATTGCTGAAGTTAGTTTTTGGTGTATTTAATATTGGGATATTTATAGAGCTTTTTATTACACATGATATAGCCAATATTTATAATAATTACGGAGAATTTTGTAAGGCAGAAACTTTGATTTCGTAGAAACTGTAATTTATTTATGTTCCTATTACTTACAGTATTATAAATAGGTGAAGCATATGGATATACTGGTCGGATCATTGCTTTATAAGTATACAGTTTCCCCCTTTAATGAGAATTTTAAATGTATAATAATATGTACGGTTTGAGAAATCTGAAGAGGGCGTGAACAATGCTGATTATTTTTATTGCTGTATACAGTTATATTTTCTAAGTTCTAAGCAAAAACTCATCTCTGTGTGGCTCTGACGCCATATTGAAACGGGTAAGCAAGAAGGTTTTTCTGATTATGACACGTGATAAGAACTCGGTCGGCTATTGGCTATACGCGCGCGTCGCGGGCGAAAAAGCTGAACAGGAGTACTCAGTTTTACGTCTTCTGCGTCTTACGAATTTACGCCGGCGTCAAAAAAGTTACGTCAACTACGTCGGGAGCGTCCTCGTGTGGACGGGCCTTTAAATAAATCGATGGAGCTTTCCTTATACATCTTCCACGAAAGCCTCAAGACCTTAGGCAAGTTCCCTCTTGCTTTGCTATAATTAATAAATCTAAGCCATAGTTCACTAACGCTTTTCCAACACCAAATCACATATGCGACAGATGCACAGTATTTGAATAAAATTCTCTAGAAGCATTTTGGTTTTATTCTACTACTGGATATTTCTTACACACTTACTTGCGATATTTAAGGAGATTGTAATCCTTATGGGACTCAGTAACGCAACACATTTAAATAGCTAATCCTTATTGTACTTTGTGACCTGTAAGAAAAATGCACACTATTAAAATATAGGCAAATTATACACAGTATATTTATAAGAGACAAAAAAATATTCAGTTAATTTTATAAAATCTTTTTTGCTAAAAAGGACAACTAGAACTGAAAAGTATAAAAACAATTTTTACTGCTTCAGAGTTTTTACAGATGTACCACTTTTTTATTTTTTGATTTTGTAAAAGTAAGTTATTAACCACATCCCATATTGACAACCATATAACTTTTATAAAAGACCTCTCAAAATTTATGAAAAGGACAATAATTTTTTATAACCACTTTAAAAAAAAAAAATTTTTTTTTTCATTTGTAATCAATGAAATTTCTGTATCTTTATAAAATGTTACCGCATTCTTCCGTGCGGGCTGTTGTGATGTAAATGGTTAGCATGCTCATCTTGCGATTAGAAAATCTATTCTCGGAATCCTGGTAAGAGCAAAGTTGATTTCTTAAAAGTTTCTCAATACGAAAAGCTGAGCTGAATCTCTATAGCTGAGTCTATAGATGAGCTATGCCTTACTTTGATCAGCATATTACTTAAAATTAGTATTGAATTTTATTTGTAAATGTTCAAGTGTTTATATTGTTTAGTTAATCTTTTATATTTACACCTTTCATTGTACTTTATTTATGTTAATATTGTCAACGGAACCATAGTATTTAAGCAATTTTTTGGCGTACGAACTAGGAATTTTTCTTTAACTTATATGTATATTAGGATATATATGCATGCTTATTTAAACTAATCACATTAAAAAAATAAAAACTGTGTTTATTGCCTTTAAAACGCTTAGTTTGTTACTAAAGTCAATATGTTTTTCTTATATATATATATACATATATTTCTGGCCAGCCCCATTTTTCGATTATACGGCCGGCTAGGAGGATCGGGGCTGTGCCCTTATAATGATACCGATAATGACACCAAGCTCAAACCATAAATTTACAATTTTTGATTTTTTCATTAAAAGAAAAAATTTCCTGGCTGGGGCGAATTTTTTCTTATCATGCTGACGGCTGTTGATATATATCTGTTTTACAAATAAAACGCTAACTTTCCTCACTAGTAAAATGATTTGTTTAAAAAAATCCGAATTACTTAGCCCCCATTTAATCAAATCTCCTATTTCTGTTTTTCAGCTTTTGAACTAGTAACAATAAATAAATGGCTGCATTCATTCAATTAAAAAATTTCATTCTTTTCTGCAAGAAGGCGATATTTTTAAGGAGGGGAAACTGAGATCCATCACTGCTACAATTTATTATTCAAAGGGCCATACTACACTAACTTCAAGTTCTGTTATGACAAACAATTCAAGATTTTGATTGACTTGCGTATACCTCAAAATTTATTCAGATTAGAATCCAAACCCAAAGCCGACCGCGCAGTCAAGAAAGAGCTCAATTTTGACAGAAAAAATCGAAGATTTCCAAATCTCAAAACATAATGGAATTCTGACCAATTACAAGCGGCAACAGCATAACTGGATGATTGATTGTTGATTGGAAGAAAATTCGCTAAATTATAAACATATTAAGCTACTTACAACGTTGTATTCCTGTATCCGCGGTCTTGAAATATTTTGAGGGGGGGGGGAGTTTGGCTTATTGAAATTACGGCAGTGCACACACTACTGCTATCTATCTGCCTAAGGGAAGGGATGCCTTTGCAGATGACTTTAGAAGGAAAACTGGCTCGTATACACGTTACACATGAGGAAAACCAGGAAAACGCCCAAACAGTCAGCCTGTTCGTGGGAATCGAACCTCGGACTGAATTACCAGTGTTCAGCGACTTTACCACTCAGATTTTAACATTGCACCAAAGGATCTGTTAAGTTTCTGCTCTCGCTTATTTAACTTTATTATTAGGCACCGCTTTCTTCGCACTTACGGTACATACAATTCGACAATAATATCACTAAATTTTTAAAGGCTATATAGCAGCATATATTTAGAATCCCCAAACAGTGTTAAGGTATCCGACTATGTTCGGAGCACTTTTTTTCAAAAAAGCAGTATAAGTACACTATAAACAAATTTTCTCATTTATTATCTACAGAGATTAATTATGCAATATCAAAATGTAATATATTCTATTATTATCCTGCAAAAAATATTAAATTTACGTGAAATTTTAAGCAAATTTTAAAACAATTTGAAACATTCTATACGAAAAAATATTAAAGTTATATTAAAAAAAGTCATAGAATAATAAATTACATGCTTTTTCCTAGGGAATGACATAGGGATTTAAAAATATCTTAAATAGTAAAAAAATTTCAGAATTTTGAAATTTTTTTATGACATTTTCGATAAATTCACGATGTTATTATTTAAACAACAAGCCACAATTCCAAAAATATTCAACGTATAAATATTCTGGTATGTCATTCCCTAGATAATTATATATAGATTAAGCATACAATGTTTCATAAAAATAAAGTAATAATAATTTGATTTATCTTGCACCAAGTGAGCCGGTTTACAGAAAAAACAGATTTTGAGAAAAATACATTTAAAGTTTAAAATGCTTTATTTTTATTATTAAATCTTGACCCAGATACCTAAACCTCCCTATATCTATAGGTTATACCTTCCTTTTGTTCAACTTTACCTGTTTTTCTGTTTATATTCAGCCTATTTGTTTTTTGTGGCAATTTTTACTCTGGGTAGTGAGTGACATTTTGATTTACTCATTCGCTCCATGTCGAGCTTACTAAATCTTTCGACTGCATATTCACCATGTTGCATACCTATATAATTTAAAATATCTAGTAAGCCTAAAAGCCCTCTGTTAAAGTGTATAACAGCTATATATGCCTCCAATTTAAGAGTTTGTAATTCCACAATGGCAACCATCTGTATAAATTTCCAAAAAATGTCATTAAAATTTTGTTTGCATTTTGTGTCTTCCTTTTTTATAAGCACTTTTAAAAGAACTGCTGCTCACATAGTTTTATATACTTTCTGAAGAATATTAATTACATTCTTTGGGCCAGTCCTTTGAATTTGTTTGTATACACTATTCTAACTGATACAGGTAACTGATATTTACAAAAAATGTCTGGTCCATCTGGGCACTGACCATGTATAGGTAGATTTGCACTAGAGAAAGTGTGAAAAAAATGGAGCAATTACAGCACTTTCCATTCATTGTTCCTGATTCTAACTCCATTTTTGAAATTTGTCAATAAAGACATCATTAGTAAGCGAAATTGACTCCTCCATCAAGATAATTTTGCTTTCCCTTCAATTTTCTAACTCTGGAACGGGGCTTCTGAATATGACTTACGCGTTCATATTTGGTGACACTACTTAAATATAAATATATTTTACGTCACAAATCACTTTCAAAAACATCTCCTGCCGATGAGAAGCATTTTAATTTTTAGTTCGCTCGATGGGAATTGCTTTATTAATATTATTCTCTATTTCCTTCGCAACACGTTTCTTACGCATTTTGCTTCGATTTTTTTATCACCCTTTATTATACTTTTAACTCGAATGTTATTAAAAATAATCAAAGACTAAGATAAATCTAACTGCAGTATGCAATGTGTCGAATCAAGTCAAACTCATATGCTAGCGAGGACATAACGCTTTCAACAGGTAATTAATAAAAATATTGCATTTTATTGGAAATAATTTCATTTTCCTGCACAGATTACATATAAGATTCTATTAATTCCCTCTCTTTAAAAGTCTTTACATTACATTTACAAGATAAATTATTTATGTCCATTTCTAGCTCTTTTCAACTCTTTGAATGCGCACTTTCGGTGATTTAAATGCCCATTTCCGGTTTTTGCGTCTTTATGAAATCCTTAATATCTCAGTTTCTAATTAACCTAGAAACAAAAGCAGACCAGTTTTGGAAAGCTAAATAATCAATCTATCCAATGAACGAATAAAAGAAAATTGCCATTTTTTTTTTTTTGCGAAAATTGGCCTTTTCAACGTGTTCAGATACCTTAAGTGTTGGTATTCATTTTTATATTGTTTTTTCTTTCAGTTTTTCCTCAGTTCATCATATCAATGTTCAGTTTTCATAGTCAGCCGATTTACAAAACTTTTTTTTTTCTGTCTTTTTATTAACTTTTGGAGAGTTTAACTCAATTTCTTAAATATCACGTTCTTCTAATTTAAGCTATATGAAATCATCAGCAAGATCACAAAATATTTAAAAACAGCCTAACTTCAATATTCCTGATAAAGTATTAGGGGTTGTCACACTTTTTTTATATTCGCTATATTATTTCTTTAAAACCTAGCCACCTAAAATATTTATCATACAAATGAAAAAGTATATAATGATTTTAATGAGTCCAGCTAATTTAATCTTATAAAAATATTTAATATTTCTGATTAGATGTTTCGTGATTTTAATGCATGCCTTTTTAAAACAATCACATTAAAAAGTAAGAACTGTGTTTATTGCCTTTAAAACGCTTAGTTTGTTACTCACTAACCTTACAGATTAAATCTGAAAATATCTTAGGCATTACTGAATGGGAACACACTGGGGAGTAGGAAATAAACGAGAAATATTTACTACATTTTGTAGAATGGTTACCGTCTGAAGCGTCAGAGATAAAAATGTTTTAATTCGAACAGTGTTGCCCCTTCTGTCTTCCAAATCGCTCAGTTGGTTAATTACAAAGTTACTAAATTTATTTAAAATACGAAATACATAAAAAACCAATTAAAAATTAAAAATTCGGGCCTCGAGGTTCACAAGCTTGGCTGGAGGATTACATGTATTAAAAATCTGCTGGCTCTAGGTACGTCGTTTTTCCAGACTGCGAAGAACACTAAAATGTAATGGAGAAAATACTGTAGGGTCATTAGATTATTTTGAAGCAGGAAACATGAAAAATAAGCAATGCCCTCATCAGGATTCGAACCTGGACCTCTCGAATACGCGCCGAGTGTGCTAACTGTTACACCACGAAGGAGAGAGAACATACCTTAAGGTGTGCAAAAGA